TAGTGGTGCATCGCCTCTTCTCCATCACAAACGTGCTTCGATTGAGATAAGTCATTTTCATGGAGATAACCCAGAGGCTTGGGTATTCCAGGTTGAGTGTTATTTTAATTTTTGTTCCATTGATGAGTATGAGAAGCTCATTGTAACTTCCTGTTATCTCGACGGTGAGGCCCTTGAGTGGTTCCGATGGCTACATCGTAACAAGCAATTGGTCGACTAGGACCATTTTTCTGAAAAAGTGGTCATTCGTTTTAAGGAGCGGTAAATTCTGGGTCCCGAAAGCCGTATAACAAAGCTGCAGCAATCCACCACTGTCGCTGATAATTAAGCTCGATTTGAGGCCTTATAAAATGAAACGGTAAGTGTTTCCGATCACTGGTTGATACAGACATTTCTTTCTGGGCTTAGGCCTGATATCCAGTTCTCAGTAGTGGCTCATAACCCTACCACCTTAGACCAAATAATTTCCCTGGCCCATACCCATGAAAAACGAATTAATTGTGAAAAATAGCCTACTTATTCTAAGCCATCATACACTAAATATCAGCCCATTTTGCCCACCTTACCATCCACAACCCTTGTTCCCTTTCGCTCCACGTCCAAATCCTCAAACACTGAGCTGCATCTGAAACATCTCTCACCACCGGAAGCGCAACAACAACGTGAAAATGGGCTTTGCTATTACTGCGATGAACACTTTTCACCGGGTCATAAATTTAAAACATTACCTCAGCTTCTTCTATTAGAAGATGGTCCTTTGGATCCTAACATTCCTCCAGATTCCTTTGTTACAGAAGAAATTTTAGCAGAGGAATTACAATGTCTCGAGGTCCAGCAGCACTCTACGATTTCATATCATGCATTGGTAGGTGGGAATTCCTCTACTACACTGCATTTTAAAGGTGAAATTAATGGTTCTCATGTCCATGTCCTCGTGGATGGGGAAAGAACAGATAACTTTATTCAACCCCGTGCTGCTAAGTTTTTGAATTTAAAGGTGGAAACCACACCTCGATTTTCGGTGGTAGTTGACAATGGCCAAAGGCTTCCTTGTTCGGGAATAGTACAGAATGTGAAGTTGTTGGTCCAGTAATATAGCTTGATTTTGGGTCTTTATGTCTTGGATTTATATGGTGCGGAAGTAGTTTTAGGGGTATCTTGGTTAGCCACATTAGGTCCGGTGGTTACCGACTATCATGAGCATATCTTCAACTTTTCCCTTGGTGGGAATCATTACAGATGTAATGGGGAACCACCCATTGACGTTCAACCAGTCCAATTACAGAGTATTCGATGATTGGAAGAAGTGGATGGCATAGCATGTTATTACCGGCTTGAGTTAGTAGCTGATACGGCACCTACAACTCTAAATTATCCTGCGGAATTGTCGTCTCTACTTCATACTTTCAAAGATATTTTCTGTTAACCGCAAGGTTTAACTCCATCTAAACCTCAAGATCGTGCAATTCACTTGCAGCCTCAAACATGTCCAGTGAATGTGAAACCGTACAAATATCCCTATTTTCAAAAGCAATTGATGGAATAACTTTTCTCTCAGATGTTGAAGAAAGGAGTGATTCAGCCTAACACTAGTCCCTTCTCTTCTCTAGTATTCTTAGTGCGCAAAAAGGATGGCACATGGAGATTTTGTGTGGATTATCGCGCCCTAAATGCTATCACCGTAAAGGATCGTTTCCCTATCCCAACCATTGATGAGTTGTTTGATGAGCTTCATGACGCGAGGTATTTTTCAAAATTAGATTTATTATCAGGCTATCACCAAATTCATGTCCGACCCAAAGATGTACCAAAAATAGCATTTTGAACTCATGAGGGCCATTATGAGTTATTAGTCATGCCCTTTGGGTTATCCAATGCTCCGTCAATATTTCAGGCCACCATGAATACAGTGTTTAGGCCACATCTTCGACGATTCGTTTTAGTATTCTTCGACGATATTCTAGTTTACATTGTATCATGGGAATTACACTTGGAGCACTTGCCTTTGGTTCTCCAACTACTAAGAGACCATCAGTTGGTGGCAAAAAGAGTCTAAGTGCTTGTTTGGGCAAGACCTGATTGATTATTTAAGGCATATGATTTCAGCAAATGGCTTGGCAATAGATCCCACAAAAATTCAGGCCATCTTGCAATGGCTAGCCCTCGAAATGTGAAAGAGATTCCTAGTTTTTGGGCTTTGCGTGCTATTACCGGAGATTTATTCGTTAGTATGCTACCATTGCTGGACCTTTGACAGATTTGATTCACAAGGAACCCTTCCAGTGGAACAAACATGCACAGGTTGCTTTTGAGACACTCAAGCAGGCTTTAGGATCCACTCCAGTCCTTGCCCTTCCAGATTTTTCATTGGAATTTCATCTTGAAACAGATGCATCCGGTATGGGCGTCGGAGTTGTTCTTTCTCAAAAAGGACACCCTATCGCTTACTACAGTCACAAACTATGTCCTTGTATGTGCAAAGCATCCACATATCATAGGGAGATATTTGCCATAACTCAAGCTGTCAGCAAATGGAGGCATTATCTCCTAGGAAGGCGATTCACAATTTATACCGATCAACAGTCTTTGAAAAATTTGACGAATCAATTGATTCAAATTCCAGAGCAATAACAATGGTTAAGCAAGTTGGTGGGGTATGATTTCAAGATACTTTACAAGCTCGGGAGGAATAACTTAGTTGCGGATGCTTTGTCACGGACTCCCGAAGCCTCATTCCTAGCTATTTCAGGTCGCAAATTTGATATTGTCACTAAATTGGAGCGCGAAAAACAGTCTCATCCTGAGCTTTTAGCAGTGCAACAATTAGTGCAAAATTCCACAAATGGAGCAGCTGACTATTCTTTTCGTGATGGACTGCTACTCTGTCGAGGGCATTTGGTGGTTCCTTCTGATTCTACCCTTCGTTTGTAGTTACTTGGTGAATTACATTCTTCCTTGGTTGGAGGTCATGAAGGGGTCGCACACACTTTCCACCGCCTTTCCTCCAATTTCTTTTAGAAGGGAATGCGAAAAGATGTTCAAGCCTTTGTGGTTTCGTGTCAAGTTTGCCAACAGATGAAAGATCAGTTGAAGCAACCTGCTGGACTATTACAACCATTACCAATCCCTGATCTGGTGTTTGAAGAGACCACAATGGATTTTATCACTTGTTTGCCGAGCTCTAAAGGAAAGGCTACCATTATGACTATTGTGGAAATATTATCGAAATATGCTCACTTTATCGCTCTTCCTTCCACCTTCACTGCTCAAACTGTCATCATGGCTTTTGTCTCAGAAATTGTTCGACTTCATGGCCATCCAAAAATCATAATCACTGATCGTGATCCGAGGTTAATGAATTCTTGTTGGAATGAGAATCATAGGTTGCAAGGCACCACATTGTCAATGAGTTCGGCGTATCACCCTCAGACCGATGGACAATCGGAAGCGTTAAATAGGTGTGTCAAACAATATTTACGTTGTTTTGTATCTAACAACCCCCGTGAATGGTTTTCCCTTTTGACTTGGACGGAATATTAGTATAACACGGGTTATCAGACATCGGCGGGCATGACTCCTTTTCAGGTTATTTATGGTCGTGAGCCCCCTACTTTGGTATTTTATGCCTTGGGAAGTAGCTCCAATGATCTGTTAGAAATTTTTTTGTTGCAGCATGATGAAGTGATGGAACGTTTGAAGCACAACTTTGCCAAGACTCAACAGAAAATGAAAGAGTATGCTGATAGAAAGTGTGAGCATGTTGAGTTCGTGGTGGGTGATTGGGTATATGTAAAGTTGAAGCCCTATCGACAACATTCCACGCGACTTCAATGACACCATAAATTGGGACGATGCTATTTTGGACCTTTCAAGGTACTGAAGCGGGTGGGCTTGGTGGCTTACAAGTTAGAATTGCCTGAGGAAGCAAGAATACATCATGTGTTTCATGTTTTGATATTGCGCAAGTGTGTTGGAACCCCTGAAAATTAAGTCACACCCTTACAACTTTAAAATAATACGCAATAGATAAACTCGAACCTTGAGGACAAGGTTCAATCTGGAGAAGGGGTATTGTTATAGCCAATATATTGATGGGCTTAATGTGGAAAGTGGGCTGCAAGAGGAATTGGAAACTGGTCTAGAAGATTTGCCAAGAAGAAGTCAGAGAATAAGAAAACCAACCCAAAAGTTGGTTGATTACGTTTGGAGTGCTGGCTAAGGAGTTGATTACATTTGGAGTGATGGCTAAGGACTTGGTGTACAAGGCATCATAGTATTAGTATTGGGGAATATATCTAGTATATATAGAATAGTACAAGTAGTGGAAAGGAGGTTAAAAGTTGTTAAGAAATTCCCTCTCCCTCTGTGGTCTGTGGCTCTGTTTCCTCTCTCCTGTTTCTTTCTATCTATCTCTATCTGTATTTTCTTATTTTTGTATCAGCAAATATCCCCTAACCTTATTGTACTGGTATTTCTATTTGAATCAATACAACAGTGTTTGCTTTGCTCAACAGTTCAATATATTTTGGTGCTTTCGTTGTTTATCTTCCATAGGTGATCCAAAACATTCCATGGCTGACCCTTCACAGTCCACTCCTGACTGTAGCTCCATTCCGTCATCGGACATGGCATCGTTTCGTTCGGTTGTGGAATCGAATCAATGTTTTTATGTAGGAAATAGTGTCTCAGATGGCAGCCTTAATTACTTATCTTAGGCCAACATTTGATGTTCCTTCTCAGATTACGGCGTTGGGTGCCATCGCTCTTTCGTCTACTGCTAGCTCCGTCACAAACGTGCTTTGATTGAGATAAGTCATTTTCATAGCGATAACCCAGAGGCTTGGGTCTTCTAGTTTGAGCGCTATTTTAATTTTTGTTCCATTGATGAGAATAAGAAGCTCACTGTGGCTTCCTTTTATCTCGACGGTGAGGCCCTTGAGTGGTTCTGATGGCTGCATCATAACAAGCAATTGGTCGACACGGACCATTTTGCTAAAAAAATGGTCATTCGTTTTAAGAAGCGGCAAGTTCTGGGTCCCGAAGGCCATTTAGCAAAGCTACGGCAATCCACCATCGTCGCTGATTATCAAGTTCGATTTGAGGCCTTATCAAACGAAACAGTAAGTATTTCCGATCACTGGTTGATACAGATATTTCTTTCTGGGCTTAGGCCTGATATCCAGTCCTCAGTAGTGGCTCATAACCCTACCACCTTAGACCAAACAATTTCCCTGGCCCATACCCATGAACAACAAATTAATTGTGAAAAGGGCCCACTTATTCTAAGCCATCATACACTAAATCTCAACCCATTTTGCCCACCCCACCATCCACAGCCCTTGTTTCCTTTCACTCCACGTCCAAATCCTCAAACACTAAGTTGCCTCTCACTAACGGAAGCGCAATAACGACGTGAAAAGGGGCTTTGCTATTACTGCGATGAACGCTATTCACCGGGTCACAAATATAAAACATTACCTCAGCTTATTCTATTAGAAGAGGGTCCGTTGGATCCTAACATTGCTCTAGATTCCTTTGTTACAAATGAAATTTTAGCTGAGGAATTACAATGTCTCGAGGTCCAGCAGCACTTTACGATTTCATATCATGCATTGACAGGTAGGAATTCCTCCACTACCCTGCGTTTTAAAGGTGAAATTAATGGTTCTCATGTCCATGTGGATGGGGGAAGCACAGATAACTTTATTCAATCCCGTGCTGCTAAGTTTTTGAATCTAAAGGTGGAAGCCACACCTCGATTTTCGGTTATAGCTGGCAGTGGTCAAAGGCTTCCTTGTACGGGAGTAGTAAGAAATATGAAGTTGTTGGTCCAGGAATGTAGCTTGATTTTGGACCTTTATGTCTTGGATTTAAATGATGCGGAAGTAGTTTTAGGGGTATCTTGGTTAGCCACATTAGGTCCGGTGGTTACTGACTATCATGAGCGTATCTTCGATTTTTTCCTTGGTGGCAATTGTTACAGATGAAATGGGGAACCACCCATTGACGTTCAGCCAGTCCAATTACAGAGTATTCGACGATTGGCAGAAGTGGATGGCATAAAATGTTATTACCGGCTTGAGTTAGTAGCTGATATAACACCCGCAACCCTAAATTATCTTGCGAAATTTTAGTCTCTACTCCATACTTTCAAAGATATTTTCTGTAAACCGCAAGGTTTAACTCCATCTAAACCTCAAGATCATGCAATTCACTTGCAGCCTCAAGCAGGTCCAGTGAATGTGAAATCGTACAGATATCCTTATTTTCAAAAGTAATTGATGGAACAACTTGTCTCTGAGATGTTGAAGGAAGGAGTGATTCGGCCTAGCACTAGTCCCTTCTCTTCTCCAATATTGTTACTGCGCAAAAAGGACAACACATAGAGATTTTGTGTGGATTATCGCGCCCTAAATGCTATAACCTAAAGGATTGTTTCCCTATCCCGACCATTGATGAGTTGTTTTATGAGCTCCATGGCGCGAGGTATTTCTCAAAGTTAGATTTATTATCAGGCTATCACCAAATTCGTGTCCGACACAAAGATGTACCAAAAACAGTAATTCGAACTCATGAGGGCCATTATGAGTTCTTAGTCATGCCCTTCGGGTTATCCAATGCTCCGTCAATATTTCAGGCCACCATGAATAAGGTGTTTAGGACACATCTTCGACGATTCGTTTTAGTATTCTTCGACAATATTCTAGTTTACAGTGGATCATGGGAATTACACTTGGTTCTCCAACTACTGAGAGACCATCAGTTGGTTGCAAAAAGAGTCGAAGTGCTTGTTTGGGCAAGACCAGACTGATTATTTAGGGCATGTGATTTAAGCAAATAGCTTGGTAGTAGATCCTACTAAAATTCAAGCCATCTTGCAATGGCCTAGCCCTCGAAATATGAAAGAGATTCATAGTTTTTTGGACCTTGCGGGCTATTACCGGAGATTTATTCGTCAGTATGCTACCATTGCTGGACCTTTGACAAATTGTCTTTGCAAGGAACCCTTCCAGTGGAACGAACAGGCACAGGTTGCTTTCGAGACACTCAAGCAGGCTTTAGGATCCACTCTAGTCCTTTCCCTTCCAGATTTTTCATTAGAATTTCATCTCGAAACAGATGCATCCGGTACGGGCGTTGGAGCTTTTCTTTCTCAAAAGGGACACCCTATCACTTACTACAGTCACAAACTATGTCCTCGTATGTGCAAAGCATCCACCTATCATAGGGAGATGTTTGCCATAATTCAAGCTGTCAGCAAATGGAGGCAGTATCTCCTAGGAAGGCGATTCACAATTTATACCGATCAACAGTCTTTGAAAAATTTGACGAATCAAGTGATTCAAACTCTAGAGCAACAACAATGGTTAAACAAGTTGGTGGGGTATGATTTCAAGATACTTTACAAGCCCGGAAAAATTAACTTGGCTGCTGATGCTTTGTCACGGACTCCTGAAGCCTCATTCCTAGCTATTTCAGGTCACATATTTGATATTGTCAGTGAATTGCAGCGGCGAAAATTAGTCTCATCCCGAGCTTTTAGCAGTGCCACAGCTAGTGTAAAATTTCACAAATGGGGCAGGTGATAACTCTTTTCGTGCTGGGCTGCTACTCTTTCGAGGGTGTTTGGTGGTACTTTCTGATTCTACCATTCGTTTGCAGTTGCTTGGTGAATTTCATTCTTCCTTGGTTGGTGATCATGCAGGGGTTGCATGCACTTTCCACCGCCTTTCCTCCAATTTCTTTTGGAAGGGAATGCGAAAAGATGTTCAGACCTTTGTGGCTTCGTGTCAAGTTTACCAACAGATGAAAGATCAATTGAAGCAACAAGTTGGACTGTTACAGCCATTACTAATCCATGATCTGGTTTTTGAAGAAATCACCATGGATTTTATCACTTGTTTGCTGAGCTCTAATGGGAAGGCCACCATTATGACTATTGTGGACAGATTATCGAAATATGCTCACTTTATCGCTCTTCCTTCCATCTTCACTGCTCAAATTGTCGCCATGGCTTTTGTCTCAGAAATTGTTCGACTTCATGGCCATCCAAAAATCATAATCACTGATCGTGATCCGAGGTTCATGAATTCTTTTTGGAAGGATATTCATAGGTTGCAAGACACTATATTATCAATGAGTTCGGCGTATCACCCTCAGACCGATGGACAATCTAAAGTGTTAAATAGGTGTGTCAAATAATATTTACGTTATTTTGTGTCTGACAGCCCGTATGAATTATTTCCCCTTTTGCCTTGGGCGGAATATTGGTATAACACAGCTTATCAGACATCGGCGGGCATGACTCCTTTTCAGGTTCTTTATGGTCGTGAGCCCCTACTTTGGTACGTTATGCCTTGGGAAGCAGCTCCAATGATCTGTTAGAAAATTTTTTGTTGCAGTGTGGTAAAGTGATGGAACTTTTGAAGCACTACCTCGCCAAGACTCAACGGAAAATGAAAGAGTATGCGTATAGAAAACGTGAGCATGTTGAGTTCGTGGTGGGTGATTGGGTATATGTAAAGTTGAAGCCCTATCGACAACATTCCATATGACTTCAACGATACCATAAATTGGGACGACGCTATTTTGGACCTTTCAAGGTACTGAAGCGGGTGGGCTTGGTGGCTTACAAGTTAGAATTGCCTGAGGAAACAAGAATACATCCTGTGTTTCATGTTTCGATATTGCGCAAGTGTGTTGGCACCCCTAAAAATTAAGTTACACCCTTACAATTTCAAGATGATACGCAATAGATAAACTCGAACCTTGAGGACAAGATTTAATTTGGAGATGGGGGTATTGTTATAGCCAATAATACTGATGGGCTCAATGTGGAAAGTGGGCTGCAAGAGGAATTGGCAACTGGGCTATAAGATCTGCCAAGAAGAAGTCAGAGAATAAGAAAATCAACCCAAAAGTTGGTTGATTACGTTTGGAGTACTGGCTAAGGAGTTGATTACGTCTGGAGTGCTAAGGATTTGGTGTGCAAGGCATCATAGTATTAGTATTGGAGATCATATCTAGTATATATAGAATAGTACAAGTAGTGGAAAGGAGGTTAAAAGTTGTTAAGAAATTCCCTCTCCCTCTATGGTTTGTGACTTTGTTTCCTCTCTCCTGTTTCTTTTTGTTTATCTCTTTCTGTATTTCCTTATTTTTGTAGCAGCAAGTGTCCCCTAGTATTTTTATTTGAATTAATACAACAGTGTTTGCTTTGCTCAACGGTTCATAACACAAGAGCTGCAAATCATGGGAGAAGGTGCAGCAGCAAAAACTCGTCCTGTTTACCTTTACACCTTACACCTTGAATTGCAGTTGCAAGGTTGTACTTTATAAGACTTATACTATTATTTCTAATGTGCCATAAATAAGAACTTTGAACTTCCCTTTACCTGTATGCTTTCAACGTTTATTCCAGAAATTCATTACTCAAAACAAGCTTAAATTAAATCAACAATTAATATAGGCTTAATACATAGCCAGCCCCTTAAACTTGGCTCTGATTTTCACTTAGACACCTCAACTAACAGCGTCTCCCATCAAACACTTAGTACTACATTTAAACTGTACCTATTAGATACATACAACTTATGTGGCACAATGCGTGTACAAACACTTCTTCTAGGAGCGTGAGACTCCAAAATTTTTATTTTTCAGTCTTTGTTTCTCCTCCCCTAATCGCACATTAGTTTTCCACATTTACTATTTTAACAGTCACCGCCTCCATTAACAACTATATCGGACATCGTTTTCCTCTTCAATCTTCACCTACGGATGTTTCTTCTCAATGTTGCCTTTGCTGGTGTATTATTAGGTGCGACATTTGTAATTTATAAAGGCAGGAAGCACTATGGAAGATGCAACATTCTTGAAAAACTTTAAAGAAGTAATAATGAAATCTGTAAAAAATACCAAAACATTTAATGGCAAAAGATGAAAAAGATTGTGATGGTTTGCTTCTGCAATTGAGGTCTAAAATGCCCATCGATTCCCTACATGCTTTCTGTAGGGAAAAAAAATAGTTACTACCGGAGTTAACCGGAGAAGATGACCGGAAAACACCATTTTTGCTGCCGACCTCAGCTCCCTCCATCACTACCTCGCCATCACCATCATTCGTCTCAGCTTACACACCTCGCCATCGAGCAACCTTCATTCATTTTACTTTTTTTCTTCTGATGTTTTATTTACTTATTTTGCTCAAAAGCTTTTTTTATTCAAAAGCCACATGGCGCTTTTTCATTTGTTAGTTTTGCCATGTCAGGCGCGTGAACTCCACCCATTATATTTTTTGTATTGGTTAGTCATGAGGGTTTGATAGGTACAAATTGACTGATGTTAAAGTGTTTAATTGGAACAAGAGTGTTAAAAGTGAAATTTGATGCCAACTTTAGGACTCTATATGTATTTGGCCATTAATATATAAAGAAAACAATACGTAGTTCTTAATTTGCAACTTTGTACAGCTGCTTATGATCTCATGTTAGTAGTAAAGGATTGTGGTTGTGGATAAGATCTGGAGCTTTTCAGCTTATAGGCATTTAGACGGACCTGTTAATATTCTTCTGGTTACGACTTACCATACAAATATTTCATGAAATATATTCTTTTTTATACTTTTCTTTAATGAACAACTTGATTTTAATTCAACTAGCCGGCTAGAATACAAATGTACGTACGTACCAAGGCCCCGTACGATAAGAAACTAATTAAGGGCAGTCCAGTTGGGTCCGGGGAAGGATCGGACTACAAGGGTCTATTGTACACACTACTAAAAATCTGCTAAAAACCGACCAAATATTTCCGACAAACGTTGATCGGTCAAAAAAAGCGATCAAAAACCGTCCAGGTTGGACGGAAACTGGGAATTTTTTTTATTTATATTTTTTTAAAACTAAATACCGACCAACGTTGGTCGGTAAATTGGTCAACGAATTGACCCAGCTGGTCAGACAAAATTTTTTTGGATTACCGACTAACGTTG